GATTTTAGAAAGTGTACAAAGACTTCACGTGCACACTTACCATAACATGGATTTTAAAAATACTGTTCTAAGGGGTTCTCATGGCACTCTGAAAGAGCAGCCCATAGATGGAAATGGTGCATCCCAAAACGCTATGTTTGAGAAGTCATCAACTCGATCTAAGGCTTATAATGCTGGAGTGGCTAGCAGTAAATCTGTAGCTGAGGGAGCAACATCCAGCTCTCAATTGAGAGGGAGCTCGACCTACAGCATGTTCCAAAGGTGGAACAGCTAGCAGTTAATTAGATGAGGGAGCAACACCTCTAGTTCTCAAACGAGAGGAGGCTCGACCTGCAGCATGTTCCAAGCTGGAACAGCTAGCAATAATTTACTTAGCTGAGGGAGCAACACACCCAGTTCTCAGTCGAGAAGGGAGCTCTACCTACAGCATGTTCCAATGCACCTCCATGCAGCATGCACCTCCCACACAATGGCCCTTGAGGAGGGACCCCCTGTAGCCGAGACCTCAGTGCCCAGACCACTCAGCTTCTTTTCCCACAATTTTCCACCCATGTGGCAGCCCCAGGCCCATGAGTGACAGTAACTTCATTAGATCCCTCTTTAACCTGGCCCTTCTCCCTCTCATTTTCTCAGAAGTACCTTTCAGGGGTTAACGGCGTTACTCAAGCACTGGCTGTTTTGGCATAGACCCCCAGAAATGATGTGCCATGATGAGGTATGCAGTATGTCACTGCTCAGCAAACTGACCGGAGACAAGCTGCTACATTATAACTGCATCTTGTGAATTACACAAACACATGACACCAGGACAGGTTAAACAATTTAGAAAAATTAGTAGCCATAATGACTGGTAAGGTACTGTGCAGTACTGTATATACACTGTTAAAATATACTGTTACTATAATACACTTTTAAAATATACTGTTACGGTCTTGAAATTAATAATAAATTAATAAATCTTGAAATTAAATAGCACTGAAGTGCATTACAATCATTACAAGTCGTCAAATTCTGAATTTACAAAGATACTCTTTATTTAACTATTAGACATAATTTTAATATATTGCTTTATATCTCACAACTGTGATTTAATTATATATATTTGGGACCTGCATATCTCACATTGTGACTTTATATTATTGATTCAATGATACTATAAATAGTGTCAGATAACCGGATGATATAAAAGTCTATACTAAGTTTATTATTATATTTAAGTATATAGTACATAAGTCAGGGGTGTCCAATCCTGGTCCTGGAGGGCCAATGCCCTGCAGATTTTAACTCCAGCTTGTTCTAAAATAGCTGCCTGGAAGACTCTAGCAATTCTGAAGACCTTGATTACCTTGGTTCAGGTGTGTTTAATTGGGGTTGGAGCTAAACTCTACAGGATTGTGGCCCTCAAGGACCAGGATAGGACACCACTGACATAAGCACTATGATATAAACACTAAAAAAACTCTATTTTAAATGCTACAAGTGAATTTAGGCATCACAACACAATGCACTGTATGAAAACTGATATTTATGTGAGATTTGCTTAAGAATACAATTATTAACCTAAATTATTAGTCTCTTAAAGAATAACTTGCATGCGATATAGATAAAAAATTGCCCATAACTGATATCAATACTAATATATTGTGTATCCCTACTTTATATCTCACAGTGTGTTTATATTTCTCAATTGCAACTTTGTTTATCATAATCACAACTTTCAATGTGACTTCATATCTTGCAAATGCAATTTAATTTCTCAATATCAAATGTAACAAGAAATGAAGTTACAATTTGAGATATCTAACAAATTACCTTTCTCATTTTTTTACTCTGAAGTGGAAATAGGCTTCCAAACAAGACACTGTCACAGTCACTGAAATAAAACTTTGAATAGTTGGAAATGATCATTGCTGGGGCAGAAATAATCTAGCCTATGATTCATCAAATAACTGCATACTTGTATACGTCAATAAACAAGAGCAGCATGTGTTTAATATCAATGCAGGAGTTAAAACAAACAATAAACCAAAGTGATGCTATACTACTGATAAATGTTACACATAATTACTCATAACATTACTCATAAAAGGCATTACAACTGCCAATAGAGAGATAATACTGTACTTACAGCCTGACATCTTTCAAAAAAATCCAATCTAATCACAAGCAACGTCTTTTCGTGCCATAAAATGTGTCTTTAAAAGGAAGCTGCTGGCTGAATGATTCCTTTTGTGCCAGGCAGCGAGCCAAGCCTACAAAGTATTGGATGAAACGTGTGTATTTGTAATTCGTAGTAAACCTTAAAGTGTGTAGTTTAAAAATTCATGCTGCGATCCTTGTTGCTGATGAGCGGTGTGCATGTATTATTGCATTTGGCCTCAGCACAGAACAGAATGTGTGTCTACTACTGAATAATGGCTGAGTCCACTATGACACTGAGACGCTAATGAGCATGTAGCTTCAGGCGTAGTTAGAAACGCTGTCTGCCACTGAGAAAGTCACACAAATCCCAGCAGTAAAACGAAACAGCTGCATCATATCAGAGCGTTTAGCAGAGCCCACAAGTGCATTGCATTGCGAGGAGCATCTGTTAAACTGCGCTATTAGCAACTGCCTCTTACAGAGCTGTAGATCAATAAACCACAAGTACAGTTAACAGGCAATATTTTAAAAGGCTGTAGAGAGCTTGACCTGCCAAACTCTCATCCTTAATGAAGAGTTCTCGACACACCCAAACGCTCCACCACTTTCCCTTTAGAGCACCTATCTGTGAAGTTCCCCGAGCATAGACGCCTTGCAGACCCTTCAATGATGCCAACGTCAAAGAGGGGCTTGTCATTACCTCCCCTCATTCACATTTGTCCACTCAAACATGGCAGAGGAAAAAAGGCACAGATGTTAATCTCTCTCTTATCCCCTCCTTTTTATTAAGGGAGATTAAAAAGAATAGAGTGCAATTTGGATGAAGGCCAAGGCAGACTAGATGTGCAAAGTATTTCTGGATTATTTCCACTTAGTACAGGCGGGGACTGAAAGGACGGCTGTCTTGTTAGCTGGTGTGTCATTGAAGACTTCACAAGCCAGTTGGTCAACCGGAATCACAATAAACGCTGCTTGTGCCATGACAAAATTCCCATGGAGGTTGATTTGCACGAATGCACGGCTCAAGTTAAATATGATGATTTGAGATGAAAAGTTCTGGTAACAACTTTTTCCGAGGGTTTGGTTGCTAGAGACCTCAGTCCTGCCTTTCATGTTTTTGGTTAAAAGAAGTAGAAGTGGAAGCGTACCGAGGCTAAAAGGGACTGCTTCTATTTGTTAATCTCTTTCTCTATCTTTTCATATGGCCAGACCTTCCTTTTTTGATTCCTTTCACCTCAAAAGAAAGAGAAAAAAGTTAGTCAGTCCCCTGTTCCTTTTGTTGTGCTCTTTCTTCTCCACACTCTTTATACTTTTATCCTAATCCCAACCATGCATGAGTGATCAGTTGTGTCCTGTTGTTTCACTGTTCTGCTAGTTTTCAATCGGTAGGGTTCCGTCTTTGTTCCCTTTCAGCGAGAAACACAGAGAAAGGTAAAGAGAGGGAAGGGTAATGAAACCTCCTCCACAGACTTACTCCTTTGTCTTCTTGATCAGGTTTATTTTTCTTTTTCTTTTGGAGATATAACTGACTGTAATTAGGAGAGATCGGTGCTGTGATGATGTGTTCTTTGCCAGCTCTTAGTCTTTGGAGAGGGATAGAAATGCCTCATCAAAGCCGACTGATGAAGTCCAGCGGTCACAGAGCCGGAGCAGGTTTTGATGTATGAATTCGATATAAAGATCATCAGATGTCAGGCTCAGTCCAGAGGCCGTACCTGACAGGTGAAGAATGCTCTCATCCAACATGAAGCAAACAGGCACGAGGACATCTAAAATTCTACCTGAAACATGAACAAGCTGCACCATGAGGGCCTGGGGGTTTGTTGATAGCTGTTTGGATGTTTGGTTTCTGTTTTCCCAGCAGTCAAACTGGGGTTTTGATCCCTGGACACTTTGGGAATATATAGAAAGAACTGAATTCTAGCTGTTTAATAAAAAACGGATGTACTAATATCCTCAAATCATGGAGGGCACTATACATTGTTCTATGTGGAAAAAAATGTGTGCTGTTTTTGCTGTGTGCATATAGGTATCAATGATGTAGCAATCTCTTTTTTGTTGTATTTATTAAAAAAAAATACACAATTGAATAGACCACTTTGGTATAGAGAAAGACTACAATAAAATTGTAAACTTAAAAATAAAAAAATACATTCTTGAAGAGTTTGTCATTATATAGCAGTATTATTATTATAGAAATAAATATTTTAACAAAACTAAGTAACATTTGAAAAAGTGTGGTCCAACTAACATGCAAGCACCTGCATAAAAAAAGGAAATGATATCATAGAGATGAGCCCTGCAGTCTCTTATGACTGTGTCGAGGTCAATAAGTCTTTTAAAATATCAGATAGTTTGACCTTTTTATGACAAGGCAAAGTTAATTCAGAATGCAAAATGTGGTGCAACTCCAAAAAAATTTAAGATTTTTTTTTTTTCAAAATAATTTTTGATGTTTGTAAAATAATTTTTACCTTGAAAAATATATGTAAAGTTAGTCAGTCCCCTGTTCCTTTTGTTGTGCTCTTTCTTCTCCACACTCTTTATACTTTTATCCTAATCCCAACCATGCATGAGTGATCAGTTGTGTCCTGTTGTTTCACTGTTCTGCTAGTTTTCAATCGGTAGGGTTCCGTCTTTGTTCCCTTTCAGCGAGAAACACAGAGAAAGGTAAAGAGAGGGAAGGGTAATGAAACCTCCTCCACAGACTTACTCCTTTGTCTTCTTGATCAGGTTTATTTTTCTTTTTCTTTTGGAGATATAACTGACTGTAATTAGGAGAGATCGGTGCTGTGATGATGTGTTCTTTGCCAGCTCTTAGTCTTTGGAGAGGGATAGAAATGCCTCATCAAAGCCGACTGATGAAGTCCAGCGGTCACAGAGCCGGAGCAGGTTTTGATGTATGAATTCGATATAAAGATCATCAGATGTCAGGCTCAGTCCAGAGGCCGTACCTGACAGGTGAAGAATGCTCTCATCCAACATGAAGCAAACAGGCACGAGGACATCTAAAATTCTACCTGAAACATGAACAAGCTGCACCATGAGGGCCTGGGGGTTTGTTGATAGCTGTTTGGATGTTTGGTTTCTGTTTTCCCAGCAGTCAAACTGGGGTTTTGATCCCTGGACACTTTGGGAATATATAGAAAGAACTGAATTCTAGCTGTTTAATAAAAAACGGATGTACTAATATCCTCAAATCATGGAGGGCACTATACATTGTTCTATGTGGAAAAAAATGTGTGCTGTTTTTGCTGTGTGCATATAGGTATCAATGATGTAGCATTCTCTTTTTTGTTGTATTTATTAAAAAAAAATACACAATTGAATAGACCACTTTGGTATAGAGAAAGACTGCAATAAAATTGTAAACTTAAAAATAAAAAAATACATTCTTGAAGAGTTTGTCATTATATAGCAGTATTATTATTATAGAAATAAATATTTTAACAAAACTAAGTAACATTTGAAAAAGTGTGGTCCAACTAACATGCAAGCACCTGCATAAAAAAACTGACAGACAACAGGAAATGATATCATAGAGATGAGCCCTGCAGTCTCTTATGACTGTGTCGAGGTCAATAAGTCTTTTAAAATATCAGATAGTTTGACCTTTTTATGACAAGGCAAAG